TCCTTCTATCAAACAAAAACCACAGTCTGCTACAGTAGGAAAGCACTTCACAGGGAGACATTGACTTAGCACTGAGTCATCAGTCACTTCTGCCTTTCTCTATTGTTTGCCGATCAACTCAGGTTAGTGGGCCAGCACCAGTTTGTCAGTGGGAATTAGACCATCCTGCAGGCTCACGGTTTTGGTCGATCTCGAGACCCTCAGGGTCGACTTTTAGTCCTTCACTCGGTCAGATATCTGTGGACCCAGTGGTCATGCAACATTACTAATTATTGACACGGCAGTGGCCAAGAAGTACACTTCTAGTCCTGAAGTCAGGGAACATTGACATAATTACCATTAATTGTATGTTAATCTAGGTAGGATAATCAACATATAGTCAGAGAAGGCAGTTATAGAATGTGTGTGTTACATTGTACGTGTGTGCATACGACAGTGTGTGGGTGTGAAATGCAGACGTCTGAAGTTCTGCTCCCATTTGAGCAGACTGGGCGGCCAGATGTCAGTTCCAAGTCCACCGTGTTGGCGTGCGTCTCTTGCAGAGGCGGTGCACTTGCCTCTAATAATGTGCACGTGCACGCAGAGACATGGACACACACATGGAAGCGACAAAGTGTGTGTGTGTGTGTGTCTTTGTGTTGAGGCAGGTCAAAGCTTTAAGTGGTCCTGTCTGTGAGGCAGATGTTTAGGTTCTCCATTGCAACACCTCACTCTGTCCAGCAACACACAAACACACACATTCTCTCATTTATAAACCCTGACAAACAAACACACACACACACATGCAGACACAAACTCATTAACAACCAATTAGAGAGCAGATATTGGCTCACTGGGGGAAACTAAAGGCCAACCAGTGCTGTTCTCCGCTTTGAAAGCCAAGTCACAACAAATAGCTGGATGGGGTCCAAGAAAGTGTGTGTGTGTGTGTGCGCACATGAATGCCCAGTTTCTACCCAATTTTGGCAGTCCACTCTCATCTTGGGTTTTTTTTCCCAGTAAAAAAGGAAACACACACACTATCCCTCCTCACTTAATTAAATGCATTTTTTCCACTGTGCAAGTTCTGTTGTTTATTGCATCAGCCCACACGTCTCAGCGGTGCAACTCTCACTTCACCATCATTCATTTTCATGTGGGAATACCAGGCCTGAGCTATGTTTGACATACACACACACACACACACATGCAGTCCCATTCAGAAGAGCACACACACACACACACACACACACACACACACTCATTCACCAGGGGACCCGAGCGATGTGTTTATGCCAGTGCTGCATGATGAGATGCTTGAGACACTGGGCCTCTCTGGACACCATGTTGAAAACAAGCCTCTCTCCCTGCCACCCTCCTTCGCTCTGGGTGATTGTTTACTTCAATCACTGTCTATAGCTCACCCATATCTGTCTTCTTCCCTCTATGTGATGTGATCGTTCAGCGTTTACTTACATCCCCCCAAATGAACGGAGGTTTGGAAAAACAGGCTGCTGACAATTTAAGTCGATTAGCCAGATGTAGCAGCTTTCATTCCCAATAAACTGCACCACAATGAACTGAGAGAGAGAGGGAGAGACAGGGGAGATGCACACAGTCATCAAATGTAATTCACCAACAGTTGTTGTACAAGAACTTTCAATTTTCACTTTCTTTTACATTTCTTTGGAGGAATGCTATATATTTAAAGAATAACAATCTGGACACTGGACACAAATCAAGATGACTTGATGGTGGTGTGGTGAAAATAACAAGGAATGTTGTTGCTGTTTTATTATGTATAAACATTTTAAACTCAAACCAAATGTAAAAAATGCCAATAAGCTTCATCTTATCTTTCCATTCTCTTTCTCCGCCGTACACCACTCCCTCACTTTCTCCGTCTTTCTGGGTTGAGACTCATTAGTGATGACAAGAGTGCTGTTGACCCCTGACTTTCCTCCATGTCTCTCGTCTCTATCTACCAGCTTTCTTTCATGGCTTTGTCTCTAACACCAGTCTCTTCTCCTCTCTCTCGATCTCATTCACCCCAACTCTGTCCCTCATCACCCCATCATCATTCACCCAGCAAGGGTTTGGCAGGAGTTTACGTGTGTGTATACATGTACAAATGTGTGTATGTATGCGTGTGTGTGTTAGTGTAGCCAGGGGCCAGTTTGTGCCTGTGTACAGCAGAGGTCTTCAGCAAGGACAACACAGGGGACTCTGTCCTTGTCCAACCCCCCGGAAATAGAACAAGTGTGTGCCCAGGATAAGAACTGTATGTGTTAATAATAACAGCACGGTCAGAGATCCAGCAGGCCAACGGGGACAAACTATATGGAGCTTATAAAAGGAACCAATAAAGGCTGCAGCAGGTCACCATATGTTGGCGACCCAGTTAAGGACCGTAACACTGATTCACACCAACCTGTGTGATCGGGTGGAGGGAAAGGCTAAATGCACACAAATGATGGGAAGGGGTGCAAACTTAAAGAAGCGCTGAGAAGTAAGGATTGTCACTAACCGGCCTCTTGACCAATAACTGCACAACGACGTTTACAACTTGACCTCCACTAGTTGCTGATCACGTGTTTTTCACACCATTGACATGAAACCCAAGGCAGAAACAATGTTATTTTATAAGGCACATCTGGACAACCACCAAAATAAAACAGTGTGTTCCTTTCTTTCTTTGTTCTATCCTACTGTACATATCCAGGAAATGAATACAAATCTATATCCTACTCTTTTTTCCTCACATTCGCTGCTCACAGGCGTAGAGACATTCAGACGTGTGCGGCCAAAAGCATAACTTCTTTGGCGGAGGTAATAAATGAATATTACACACTAACGTCATGTTTTCTTTAGGGCTGTTCACTCACTCAGTATCGCCGGGTCTGGAAACACTTGAGCAGAATGAGCGGCAGTAGTGGAATGATAGAGAAGGCAGACTGTAGGAATTACATGTCTACAAGGCACGAAACAGCAAGCAGATGCCAAGTCTGTGTGAAGCCACATTTGTCTGCAGCGAAAACCCGTTGACTGAACGCTCCACTGTGCCTCAATCTGAGCTGTTGACTCTATGGTAATGATGCAAGTCAGGCTAAACATAACAAACCATTAGCATCCTCAGCATGCCGACAACAGCGGCAGGAAGATGGCGATCTCACTCTAGTCACTAGGTGGAAATAAATCCAACAAACTCTAGGAGAGGAGAGGCGTTATTAAAAACCATTTGGATCCAGTTGTGACTTCTGGTTTCAGCAGAGAGTTTTGTGACCCGTATTCTAATCCTAGTCAGGTGACATCTGTGACAGTATGTAGTCATTTATCTGGATGACCATCTGACCTGCTGACTCGTACATCCGCCGGTCATCATCCTAATGCTGGGGGAGGAATAGAACTGTAGACCCTGTGAGACAACTGCACACATGTCATGGTGAAAAATACATTTGGAAAGGGAAGAGCAATGATTTCTCCTCAGTCAATTTCAGTGAACACAGAAAGCAGTGTAGAAACAAAGGTAGAAAGTAAGTGAATGAAATTAACTCTTAAGGAGATCTTGGACTAGAGGTTTTACCTATTTTTGCCATTCTATTTATAGCCATTTTTTAATATTAATGATTTGTATGACTTTATCTCCAACATGTCTTTTTCTTCAAAATGCTTTCTTTCTGCTTGTCAGTATTGTTGCTCTTCTTGTAGCATTAACATTTTTTTTTTACACCTAGAATATTCATATTCATTTGAGACAAGACAAAAGAAAACATGTTTGATTGTGTGCGTAAATGTGTATGTCCACGCATTTTTGAAGTTTTGGTGTGAATGATTGATTTGATTAAAGGTTCACTTGTCTACCTGTTAAAACTAAAGTGAAAAAGTTAAAGGGCTGCAGGATTTTATTTTGGGGGGGGGTTCAATTTTAAAGCTTAATTTAAAACTCAATAGCAATACTTTGTATTTTGTGACTAATTGAATGTGGTGTCCTATGAAAAATTCTCTTAATTTATACATCAACCTACAGCATATATATCCATGTGCTGTTATTTGAGTAGATCTTATTCTTTCCCTGCAAATACGCCCCTCCTCCCAGAAGGGTGTGGGCATTACGTACCCCATGGTTGTACATCTAATCAGGTTTCACCATTAGTGTGTGTGTGTGTGTGTTTGTGGAAGGTCTCAATGGTATTAAAGATGCTGTCGATTATCTCTGCTGCACGTCATAGTCAGTGAAACCTCTTGGTGCGTGCACAGCCATCACAGGGTTTTAATGACGTGCCCATTATACACCCCCAACACCTATGTACACAAATACAATATGTTCATAAATTAGACAGGGGCATATCATCGTATCAGAGTGCCTCTATCACACACTTTGATTATGGTATGCTAATCTGACCTATAATTTGCTTTCCGTCATTTCTCTGTCATCTGCAGTTTCTTTTTTTGATCCAGTCCCCACCTCCCCCCCCTCCCCCCATGTTTCTTCCTGTTCCATTTGATTTACTCGCTGTATTGGCTTGTGTCTTATTAGAAACTACACTCCCAAAGCTGTATACAAAGAGATCGATATTTAAAACATTAGCAAACAGCTGTTGACTCTTTCCGACCACGCTGAGAGGCTAAATTGCTTCGGTTTGACAATCATGTGCTGAAAAATCAAAGGAGGACTGCATGAAGGAGAAACCTGTTCTGCAGATACTGCACACAGTCGAGATTAGATTAGAATTTGGGAAACTCTGCAAAAGGGATGTTGAGGGAAGTCAAGTTAATTTGCCTAACGACACCCATTAATTTTACACCATTACTAACTAAATCCGCAGCAGCTTGGCTTCACTCCAGCAACATAAAATGTCTACTAAGTGGCAGGGAGATCGAAAGCCTCCCCGTTATTTAGGAATTAATGTTGGTTTAATGAGAAAAAGGGCTTTTTAAAAGTGCTAATGTTTGAGCTAATGGCTTTCTCTCTCTTTCTATCTGTTTCCCACTTTCTCCCTCTCCTCCCTCAACCACTCTAGCCACTACAGATAGACGATAATTTCTGTGGTCAGGACTTCAACCAGCCTCTAGGGGGCACCACAGCCATTGAGGGCATCCCACTTTATGTGGACAAGGATGACGGCATGACCTCTGTAGCAGCCTACGACTATCGTGGACACACCGTTGCATTCACCGGCACCAGAAGTGGACGAATGAAAAAGGTAAATGTTGCTTTATTTTACTGCTTATTTTTTCCATTAAAGCTGAGAAGCAAAGAAAACAAAGTTAAGGGTCGACGACAAAAGGGAGACAGCTTATCCTTTGATTCAAACATTCTACGTAAATGCCAGAGAGTTGGTGTGCTTTTGGCTGTGGTAGAAGTGGAGCTTGTGCGTGTAGTCAGTCTGCAGCTATTAGCATTTGGTCTTGCTAAACCAGGCCTGGTGGTCCACTCTTTAGACCGCTAGAAGCTGCAGAGAGTTTCTTTTTTGCAAGGTGGGAAAGGTGGCTGAAGATAATCTCCGAGGTGAGTGTGTGTGTGTACTGAACAGACCACCTGGTGTGTGTGCCAATCAGATCCCTGCTCACCTGAGATCCAGCTGAGCTGCTGTGTCTTTTTTTCTTTCTCTCCTTTCTCCTTTACTATTTTCCCTCTGTACGTCTTCATGTTACTGATACTCCTGAATCAACAAACACCTAAAAAAAGGAATTCTACATCAGCCACTACTGTGAGATCTTGAAATCTTATAGTATGCTGACAACCTTGTGGGCTACATTGATGATGTGGACATTAGGACATTAGAAGTTAGGTTTTAGTTGAATTTGTTTCATGGACTCATTTTTGTAAAACGCCTAAATCGTAGGAAACTAGAAGAGACTTACATGTGCAAGTCAGTTAAAACCCTTTAAGGAAGTGAAGCTTTTTTTAAAAGAAAATGCATCTCATTTTTTTTAAATTTTTTTTTTAGCATTTATGGATTTAAGTTGGTTTAAGTTGTGTCAAGTACAATCCTATTTAGTGGAAAACAACTTGACAACTGATAAAATGTTCTCGCAGATTAAAACTGGTTAAAAGCCAATAGAAAATAAGTGACTGTGTGGGTTAGTCGACAAATGGTAGTAGGATGATAAAACCAACCAATCAAAGGGAGATTTCTTTTTTAACACTTGATTGACAAGTACAATTTCAATATCAGTTTTAGCAATTGCTAGTACTTAACAGCTAATCCTACCACACATTTTTCTTTTCTAAATTAGATTAAAAATTACACTGTAATGCACTGACACTATCTCAAACACATGTACAAGGTTAATTGACCTGTATTTTTCTCATCTGCTGCAGGAAAGAGAGAGACTTTCAAAAGTGTTTATGAACAGGCATTCTTAAACACAGTAGGTGAGAATGCTATCACGCTAGAGCAGGGCCGTATGGCCTAAAGAATACAACCCATATTAAAGCAGAGAGGTACCATGACTTTGAAAGCTATGGCACATTTGAAAGGAATTTAGATTTAAAGAAGGAATGGAATTATTGCTTTGTAATTAACAAAAGGGAAATACTGTAATAATGTTATTTAATGCACCTGACTCAAAAAATGATCCCTCACACACACACACACACACACACACACACACACACACTCTTCCCACAGCTTCCTGTCTCGGCTGTTTTGCTAAGTCGACTGAAACCTAGCCCACTAGTCCTTGGGCCTGACCCCTGGACTACATGTGAGTGTGTGTGCAGATAAATGATTTGTGTGTGTGTGTGTGTTGAGTATATGAGGTCAGCAGATCCTGGATGATATCCCACTGATCGGAATCCCATTTCCCCTCAGCCGGAGTGTCTTCCTGTGCTGTGGGATGGAAGGGAGAAGGTGAGCACGGAGGTGGAGGCTGTCGGTGTCCCCACACAGATCAATGCACCTGCTGCAGTTAGGCGCAGTCGTCTGTACAAGAAGGAAAATAGAAAGACAGGACGGCAATCACTATAAATCAGCAGCGACTGGAGCTGGAGGCATTTTATGAGCCTTTTACATTTGTTGGTGCCGTTAAAGTCTTTAATCTGACGTGGGGGGGTGGGGGTGGGGGTTCGTTTTAACTTAAAATTCTATCAAATTTGAGGGCAACTGTTCAATGACTGGACAGCATTTGACCAGAATAAAAACTGAGGACAAAAGAAGAGGAGGTCGGGCTTGAATAAAAGAAAGGAGAGAAAGGCGGAGGCAGATGGAGAGAGATGGTTACGGTCCGTGTGGTTTTATTGCTGTTCATTGGGAGTTAAACTGTGCCCCTTGGCCTAATGAAATGTAAAGCTGCAGCGTATTGATGTGCACACACACACACACACACACACACACAGAGAGAGAGGAGCACACACTCATTAGAATTCTTTCAATGTGGAGAGAGCTAAAAGTGTGTTTGCCTGCCTGCCTGTACATGTCTCAGCTGCACGACTCCTGGTATTGATTGATCTATGAATATATAATCACAAGTGTGAATCTTAATCCTAGACAGTCCATTTAATAAGTGCTGCCATTTGTGTACTTTGTACTCGCCTGGTTTGGTTTTTTGTGTGTTCATAAGTTCAAAAGCGAGAGAGAGAGAGAGAGAGAGAGAGAGAGAGAGAGAGAGAGAAGCCTGGACAGAGGGAAACAGCAGGGATCTATGTGAGGTGCTTTACTTTAGCCAGATCTGTATACCTTTAAAAATACAGAATAAAAGCAAGCAGTTGTTTGGATCATTCTCTACTGAAATCTTCAGAAGATGACCTCAAAAAAACTCCATAGATCAGGTGTTTTGAACCCCTGGACAGTGGGCCACCGTCTGCCCATGAACCAGCCTCATCAGCCTGTAACTAGGTGTCATTATAACATAACTTGATCCTTGCTGTTATTTGTCATTTGTTATTCAACCCTCCAATAAGATGGCAGGGGTAACAGTGCCCCCCAGGTCATTTGAGTTTGAGCCTGATCGTATCTCAGGCTAGCTAAAGGCCATCTTTGGTACTACAACATTGACTCCATTTACATGTAACACAAAACAGGGTGTTCAAATTTTTCCGCAGATCATTGTTTGCACTCTGATTTGTATATTAAATGAACTTCCGGCAGCCTTGCAATTTAACATGTCCATTTTAGTGAGTTTGAGTGCAAAGGAAATCCTTCAAATTTTTAACAATCTCATCACTGAAATAATGACTGACTTCAAAGGTTTCCTTTGAGCCATGTGAAAAGCACTACAGAATTAGTTTGTCCTTGTGGGCAGCAGCAGAGGAGTTTTGCCCAGATCACATTAGCATTCTGTCTTTTCACGCTCTTTATTGGTTTTATGTGGCACGGTGGAGGACATCTGATTAAGAGTCCCTTGTCAAAATAAAGGCTAATTTTAGGGTTTTAATGACGCAGTATGGCCTTTGTTAGGTTAAAGCTATTAAAAAGGATGTTGCAGACAAAAACACAGTACTGATGCAGCATACATGATAACAGGGAATAATTTATCAATGAGAGGATGAGATTGAACGTGAAGCTATTAAAAGATGCCTATTAGATTATTAGGTTTTAGATTTTACTGGAATGAATAAGTCACAGTGTGTTATAGTGAATGTTGTTGTTGGCAAATTCGGCATGAAGCTAAATATGAGATGCATTTGTGAAAGTGGGAGTTTTGGCTTAGAATTCCCTTCAATTTAGACATGAGTGTAGATGAAGGGTTCAGGTGCAGTTGTTTTGTATTATGTTAAGCGTGAACTGCATGGTGTTTTCATCAACTTTTAACCAAAAAGGCATATTAAAAAACAAACTCTGAAATCATCATAAAATGTATTGACCAGAGAGAACATGGCAGTCTCACTACACTGAGATGAAAAGAAATACTTCCTAGGTATAATTTCAGGTTTAGAAAACAAAGTTGCAAACGTTAGTGATTAGAGAGATAGAGCAAGAGAGAGTCAGATTTACTGAAGGTAGTGTGAAGGTGTGTGAATGTGTGGAGGTGGGGGAGATGCTGCTCATGGTGGTGGTGGTGGTTTCATGTCATTTCATCATTTCCCTGCTAGCAGCAAATCCAATTACTTTACCCATCCTCTCCATCTTGGAAGATAGCCTGATTGACAGCACTGGAGTACAGCACTGCTGTGGTAATTGTGCCAAAAGGTTGATTGACACAAGGCTGGCACTCTAACTGCCTCCAGACAAGGAGACAAGTGAGAGTGGTAAGACTTCCAGGGACTTTTCCGATCTGTGGAGGAAGACCACCTGCCCCCCCTCGCCCTCAACTCAGAGATGATCTAATCCACTTTGTGGCAAGATTTCACTCACCTTTTGTGTCAATAAATTTAGAGAAAATATATTTATCTTCCTATAATATGTTCCTGAATGTCCTCACTAAAAATTGTACATTTAGAATATTTACTTAGATATTTAGGTACCTTAAAATGCATTTTTACATCCGAGTATTTTTACGATTTTGAGTTTGATCTCTCTTCATCGGCTTCATCTTCTCTGTTATCTAAGGATTATAGAATTAAAATAACTGGTTGAAACACATTTCTGAGGTAAAATTGCCTAAAGAAAAACCATTATAAAAAACAGAAAGGACAGAAAGACACACATTTTCAAGACAACTCTTGTTTTTGACAAACACAAATTTTGATGTGTTCTGTTTAATCCACAGCTGCCCTGTGCTTCATTAGATTCAAATCTTTTAAAGTCCTGAAAATAAGCTTCAGTTTCAGAGTTTTACTAATGTCACATTGGAGGGGTCCCCACTCAGGGGCTTGGAACCACTAATCTATGCAGTATACCAAGCAGCACGCACTCTCTTCAAATCCCAACAACTGTGCAGTGAGAGAGCTTCAGATCTCTGGAGTTTCGGTGTAATGGCTCCTGAAAGCTTAGAAGTAAAACTGGCTGTCAATATGATTAAGTCTAATCAGGAAACATGGGATGGGAGGTAATTTAGCATGTGAATGCTAATTAGCACTAGCATTTAGACTGGCAGATGATGATTGAGGGAGCGCATCGGCTGCTCAGTCTGGTTAAATGGCAAAAGCACCAAGTTGGTAGAGATGATTGATAATCTGTGGTCAGGCTGCTGTCTGTTTCCCTGTTTGTGTGTGTGATGAGTGTATGTGTGTTCGAGGAGTGCAGTGTTTCATCTCCCCAGTGCAAACTCATAATGAACAGATGAGCGCAACACCTGAACACACTAATTCCATCTTTATTCCATTAACATGAAGTTGGTGAAATTCTCTCCTCAGAATAAACAACAGGCTTCCACCAGGCCTTGTGTGTAGAGTCCCACAAAGTCTGTAGTCTGTACCTGCATATTTACTGTCCACACAGAGTTATCATTACATTTAGTATAAAGGTAGTACTAGTAGATCAATTATGAAAATACATAAATACAATACAATACAAATATAATTCTACAGTGTTTAGTAGAGACTGTATAGTGAGAGAACTAAGAATTAAATCACATTGTGCCATACATGCATTTAACCAGTAGCTCAATATATAATGTACATATGAGGTATGTTAACCTGGTCATAGGAATAGTAGCAAAATGTTTTCCTTTTTCTATAGAAAAACCCACTAAAACACAGCATCAGCATGATATTCAACATGTGCGAAAATTAACAAAAAAAGTAACTTACCTCAAAGGGTTAAATGCCTCCTGGGTTACAAAAATAAAATACATGTTATTGGACCAAAAATACAGATTACTTCATGTTATTTACATATTCATAGCACATGTCATGTCAAATTAGGACAAAGTTTGGAAGACAAGCAGGGACACGATGAGTGACACAATGTCATCGTTCACTTCCTCTCACTGACTGTTTTGTTGAATCTCAGGAGCCAAACTGACTCAGGTTGCATGTCAGAGTACTTCCTGTCACTGTTGGAATTATTATTTTAAACACCTGTGACATTTTGACGTAGTCAGACAAGAGCCTGTGACGCTCTCCTCAGCTTGTCGTAGTAGCTGAAGAGTTTATTGGGCGGTCAGCAAAAGTTTCTGCTCTTTCTGGTGCAGTCTGTAGGATACTTGGAAACTGTTGTATGTAGGTTTTGTTTTTATTGCACATACACTATTGGTACCAGAGATTCATGGTCATACGACGGCTTTTACTGCAAGCCTCTCCTTAAGACATCGTTTTTACCTATTGAGGCACTCCAGGGTGTTGAATATAAGTTTTACTGTGTGCCGTGCTGCTGTAGGTTACATGGAATTGTTACAATGATGTATCAAAGCATCACTGTAGTAACATTTTTGTTCAGTGTTTGAGTGTTTTTGAGTGTGTGTATAGATGAAGTAAGTGCCTATTGAAAAAGTCTAGTGCATGAATCATCTTTGACGTGACAGTTTTTTTAATTTCATTTCTGCTCTTTTCAACTGCATTTTCTATTCTCTGATCTTAAATGAGTTTAATTTCTTGTGCCTGCCTCACACCTCGCCCACCGCCCTCTCACTGATTTCCTCTCGTCACCTTCACCCCTCCCATCCAACTGAGTTGGGCCACATACCCGTACAACTACCTCCCTGGAGTATCTCCTGCTTCCTGTGTGGTGTGCTGTCCTTTCTCACCTTTGCCACGTCCCTCTTTTCTTCCTTCTTCACATCTCCTGTCTCTATTAGTACATTAGTTTATGTCAGTCTGCAAAAAAATGTGCTGTCACTGTCAAATCTTTTTATAGGAGAGAGACTAACCTACAGAAAGACTGATGAGGAGATACGACGTATAAAAGGTTGTACTCCTATCTCTCTGTGTCGTCTGCCTTTTTTCTTTGAAAGTTTAAGACAATGTGATGCGAACATTTTAAACTTAAACTTTTCTTTAAACTCAAATTATTGATAATCCAGATTAAAACTGCTAGACTATCCCTATCTAAATATATTTTCTGGTAAAAAAGCAACCTGTACTTTGTAAAAAAAACTTCTATTACGTAACATTGTTGCACTGAACAAAGTTTAGACATTGCCTTTGGCCCAAAGAGGGACTTGTTCACTTATCATACAGTGTCCTTCAGCTAGTCTCTGAACACCAGCAGTAGCTCACTGACAT